CACCACCACCGCCGCCGCCGTGGCCGCCATGGCCGCCTCCGCCGCCGTAACCACCACCTCCTCCGAAGCCTCCGCCGCCGTGGTGATCGCCGAAACCTCCGCCACCAACTCCGGGACTCGTTACGATGATGTCTCCGTGGCCACCTGAAGAAATTCTGGTATCAGTGAAATTGGACAGATGAAGTTTGGATATTGAGTTTCTTTGGTTTTTGTTGATGCGAATAGTACGATGTGGTTTTGATTATTTTGTCGAGCAGCATCTGTGATAGATGTACTTTCAATAGTGTTTGGTTAGGTCTTTCTAGAGTTTGTAGGAGAATTTATATTTGTAGGATCGAATACTTTTTATTTAGGTTAGAATCTGTGATAGAATATGTTTTTAGTAGTATTTGGTTGATTCTTTTCGGTAGAGTTTATGGAATTTATGTTTCTAGGAGTATCGTATGTTTTTGATTTATTTTTCAAGTGGAATCAGAGCTTTCTCTCGCTTGAACAGTTATAATTCGAATCAACCTGTACGGGTCTTTTCCGCGGAGAATATTTGAATAATAGCTCAACATCGTTCGGATAAGACAGAATTATTCAGTGAATATATTAAGACGCAGTGGAAGAACGGGACCAGGCAAGAAGGTTAGGGTCGAGGCGCAACCTTGCGGAGCAAGTAGCGCGGTGAAAATCCGAGGTATGCACAAAGCGATGCTCGATGTTGCTGCGAGACGATTTCTGGTCGTCGATTTAAGCCGGAAGTGAAAACCAACGAAACGAGTTCTGCAGCATGAATGGTGTTAAATATCGCCTCGAGAGAAACGTCAGGCGTATTCTCTCGAAGTGCTCGATGCGTCGTGTTCCTCCAACGAGAACGTGAGAACAGATATATTGTCATTGCTCTAACAAAGTCTAGGAATTGATTAAGATCTCGGGATTTTCTCTGACAGATTTTCATTTTCCTTTAAATTCGATCTACTGAAACCTTCATCTATCTCGACTTAAGAATCTCATATTTCCATCTGACACTTCCTACACCTGCTATTCTCTATTACAACCTTGAATATCTCAAATTATTCATCAATTAGACTATCACTCAAACATTGTTATTATTACCCAAATCTCGCGCCATCTAAATTGAACAATATAACAATTACTAGAATTACTAGAATCAAACGACCTGTAAAGTATTCCAATTCGAATTAGTCTTCGTTTCCCTGTAAGTTCACAAACTCTCGACATTTTCTGAACTAAATGAAACTTAAAAATATACGTAGAAATTAACGAACTTAAAGAAATGTTAAGCTATTCCTAGTAACTTCTCGTCCTCACCTCCGCCGCCTCCATGGCCGCCGCCGAAACCGATGTCGTGTCCTCCACCGAATCCTCCTCCTCCTCCATAGCCTCCGCCATGGCCTCCTCCATGGCCACCGCCGAAACCTCCTCCGAACCCACCCCCATGGCCACCGCCAAATCCTCCTCCGTGTCCTCCGCCTCCCCCGTAACCACCGCCACCATGGCCTCCTATTTCTAATCCAGGCCCGGTGACTTCTACGTGATGACCTCCTCCACCTCCCCCGCCTCCGTGATCATCGCCGCCGTGCTCCTCATATTTTATAATCTTCTTCTCATCATGCTGCACTATCTCTGGCACATGGATCCTTATGTGCACGCTAGAAAGTTAATGAATAAAGTGATATCACATGAAAGTCTGGATGGTCTTGTTGCAACGAGGTTTTAACGAGCCTCGAGTACAACGACCGGCGGTAATTATGGGTACTCACTGTTCGTGGCCGAATGTGGCGAGCGTTGTCACCAGAGTCGTCGCGACAACCAAGCATCTCAACTGTAGAGGAATATAGAAATTGAATCAGTATGACACGATAACGATGAAACTGTGAAATTAGTTTTTAAATTAGTATTAAAATTAGTAGTTTATGCTATCTAATCGACGTTAACGACGACAGTACTATCACCAGTTGAGTAACCCATCAATTCTTTGAAGCCAATCATTATTTCGTGGTTCCATCACAAAACGATCTATTCGATCATCTAACAAGCAAAGTAACGATCACGTCATCCTGCCACTAGACTGCAGATCTTTCTCTAAAAACAAATCTGTCTACCATATACGCCACAATGACATGAACTCTACATTATCCTCTATCATTCTACATTTATGTATACATTCCACTGATCTACACCAAAAGGCATTCCACAAACGCCTGAAAAACCGGCAGTCTAGCGATCACGGAACTTCCGTCACTCTACCAATCTCATCCCCGCGTCACAGAGCAACGAAGCATCACACAAAATCCTCGATCGCAAAGATCACAAGTCCCGAGTAGACGATCGGACACATCCTTACAGCAACTTTCGGCTCCATGGTCTTCTTTCGTCGGGCCTCTCTTCCTGCCTCTTCCTGGTCTCAGCTCTTCTCGATGGTCAGGGACACACTGTCATATATATCCAGCAAGGATCCTGCCTATATATAGCGGGCCCCGAAGGAAGTACCGGAAACGGAGCCAAGTGGGGAGGCCAAAGCGATGATCGGTGCCCAACCAACGGAGGAGCCTCGAATCGAACGCGCGCACAGGGGACGGTGCACGATCGTCGAGCGATGCCCGTGCAACAGGAGGGACGCCGGTGTGTGCGCGTGTCCGTGGAGGAACGGCCGTGACCCAGAGCCGAGCCGGCACCAGAGAAATTCACGCTCCGGGCGGTGCGTCGTTGCCCTCTGGGGTAACAAGGAGATCGGACGTACTCCTCGTGTGCTACCCCAGCCGACGCTGAAAGTGAACGGACCGCCGCCTCGGCTCGATCTGATAAGATCCCACGACGGCTGTGACACTCGGGAATCCTTTAACCAGTTAACTATAGCGGTCTCTTTGCAAAGCGACCAGCGTGTGTCGCGATGATCGAGCGATGACGGGTAGAGTCGTCAAACTGAGTGACGCTGTTGAAATGTTGGGTCAAAGAGACGACTTTGTTTTAGGAAATGAACAATTTTAGTGGTAATATTTATACAGTCGCTTAACGTGAAAATGTATTTATACATAATGAATTTCAATGTTATAGCATTCGTGTCATTTTTCGTCGCAATGATGCAAATAATAATTATTGTTGTTCCCTGGGAAGTCGTTCCCTATCGAGGCAACGTAAGGCGATAGTTCAATGAAATAGTCGCGTCTGTTTCGTTTGGATTAAATTTATTTCGGAATGTTTAATTAACATGCTTGGCTTCTTGATTATTTAGATTTATCTGGATTAGTTAGGAGTATCTGATTGTTAACCTTGATTGTTCAAGATTGCGTGTTAGCGAAGTTTGAGTTTAATAATATGTTGCAAGAAGAAGAGAATTCTAAATTGTAGGTTTCGAATTAAGCATATAAATGAATAACAGAAAAATAACGTTTAATTCGAACAGTATTCGAAACTGTTGCCACGATCGTCACGCGATCTTCCGAGGCAACGTGTTAATTAAGCGCTGATAATACACTCGATTATTTACACAATTCTGTGAAGTAACAAGTGGAGTAATGTTAATTATTCGGCGCGTCTAATAATTGGAGAGTAAGTCGGAGATGTTACAAGAAGATTCCGAAAGCAATTTAAATTTCAATCGTTCGAATCGGGACCGACGACTTTCAAAATGGCGTGGATCCGCTGAATAAAACAGGAAACACTTCGGTGTTTGTCCGGCGGGTTGCTCCTTCGGTATATAGTAGAAAGTGTACTACACATTGTCAATGGAATCGTAGAATCGACCTTCGATGACTCGGTGAATGTGTTCAGTAACCGAAGTAGTGAAAGCTTTATTTTATTTGCACAGGTGAAAATTGATTTCGCACGCTGTCCCGAAATCGAAGGAGGGGGCAGCTGATTTATGTAACGGAGAAATGATACACATTTTCGAGCAATTTTTTGCCGCCGGCCCCATCGACAACCATAAAAGTTTCCAATACAAAATCGAAAGTTCTCACGACGAACGGATCGAACAGTGGACGCGTCGCAGTGCGGCGAAACGTCCGTTTTCTGGACGAAACTCGATAACGCACGAAGTACGACTGATACCAAAAGAAATGCTTCTGACAAAACTTGTTAGCTATACGGCTAAACATATGGTGTTCAAATTTTCTGTAAATTATGGATTATTAAGAAGTTTTTTCAATGACAACGGATACTTTGCGTTTCGATTCGAACGTTCCAGAAATAGAGAAACGGAATTTATTTGCGGAAAATCGTTATTTTTCGAATGAAAATCATTTTGCACTATACTTAGCGCTACGTGACTACTATCTTCGTTGCGTTAATAGTAGAATTTTGTGGTTTTTCCCACAGACGGTCGCACTGCCCCGTTTCCAAAGGAGCAACGCCTTCCCTGCGCTCGCGACAAAGGGACGAAGGAACGCGAAAAATCCAAGAGAACGATCGCGCGCCAATCGAATGTGAGAAACCCGAGGAATTCTCACGAGCCACAACAAACGCGATAAATTTCTTAATTAATCCGACACGCTCTTCCTTCAATCTGCCGGTGATTCGACGCACGCCGCGCGCAGACATTCCTTTCACTATTTTTTATTTCCACGTTGAATCGCTGTCGATTTCGTTCCTTATTCGTGAAACCGATGATTTACATTATATTACCCCGACTTCGAGTCAATTTTACAACGAACGCGTCTCTTGTATCTGAACGTTCATCAACCCGGTGATTTAGTCCTTTCTCCTTCTGCGTTAGGCGCAACAATGCGGCCAAAACGGATTTAAAATCGTAATGGCGGCAATTTACGCAGTTTAATAACGTTTCCCTTTACCAGTGTGCTTTCTAGGAAACCCTATTTTCCATCAGCGATCTGACCATGAAATAATAATCGTCGATTCGTGCTTCGGCTCTGTTATTGCACCATCTGGAACGGCAGCAACACTTTCGAACATTCTTGCTGCGCCGAACGGACACTCCACCGCGTGTTCCCTTACAATACGAAACGCGCTGCACGCGTCTCGGAAGATATCATCTACGATCCGAGCGCCGGGTAAGAGTAAAAAGGCAGCATTTTCACTTTTCATTCGTCGTGTGAACGACACCGCGCGCAGCGCACACGGCGCGGCGCATCAATTTACTTTCCTGCTGAAAGGTTGTTGCGTAAATCGATTGAACGGGGGCTTCACGGTGCGGGAGCACGCGCTTTCCCCGGTTTCGAGAATAAAATCAGATAGAAAATCGAGTTTTATCGGCGCGGGGCTCATCTTATCCAGCAGGACGAAGCTCTTGGTCTACACTTTGTCTCGTGAACGTGTCGGGAAATCACGAGTCGAACGAAAAAGGAGACACGGGGAGACACGCGTGCCTACGCGCGCGCAGATAACGTTTCTCCTGTCTCGTTTGCTACCGGCGGATGCACTCGATCAGCAATAAATTGCGCCGTTCCCGTTGCAGAAGGATTCCGCGCCCGTGAAAGAGAGATATCAAATTCCGCGCCGCGGATTTCCCTTTCGTGAAATTCGCGCATTGCTCGGATAATGTCCGACGACCTCTTTCGCCGGACGCTCTAGAATGCATCTAGAATTTCGACTTTAGATCGCCGGATAATTGAGATTTGATGGATTTATCGGAGAGTTGCCTGCGAGTCGATGCTTGAGGATTTCTTAACTCCTTGGTCTATGATCTCTTTCCCAACTCAGATCGATACGGCTACTTTGTCATTAATGATTTATTGGAAAAAGAGACAAATTCTAAGCATATGTTATGCATATGTATTGACACTCCTGAGTTCTGCTTACGATTATTAACCCCTTAACGCACAGTTTTTTTGAAAAAAACCGGTCAAAGAAAATCAATTGTATATTATTAGTGAAATTTGGATTATTATAATGTGTTAGGTTGAAATTTGTTGTACTTGGTTTAGTTGATTGGTCGCAGGATGATAGGAGCTACGTGTTGTCGAAGTAATAATATTAATGATCGTTACATGGGAAGGTAATCAGTGAAACCGGCAATTACGTCGATTCGACGGTTTGTAAAGGTAACTTGTTAAGTAATCCTAAACAGGCGCCGAAGTATCGTAAACCACCGTTTACTTCTCGATGCAAGACAGTAACTATAAGGCGCAAGAAAAGCAAGGAGACGTTGCGTAAGAATGACCGTTGTCGAAAAGTAAAAGTACAATTATCTCGGGTAATCGGCTACGACCAGAGCCTCGCTTGGACGTCTTCTAGGTAAATAGTTCGAATACACCGGCAACCAGTTTGCTCTGATTAAAATAGCTCCGTTACTATCGCTTCCAGCCTGTCCTGAAAGCGTCTGTGAATGGTGCCGTTCGTTGAATTGAAACTTTCTCGAACCTTCAGCCGTATAATACGTAAAATTTCGTAAATCTGGTTGTTACGGAATAATCATTCTTAAATCAACAGTTGTATCTAACGGTGACACTTGGGTGGGCAAAGGTAAACTCAAATTTGAAATATAGCGGTTGAAACGTTTGAATTTGAAAATTTGAATTTGGAAGCTTGAGTTTGGAAATTTGTATTTGGTAATTTGAAGTTGGAAATTTGAATTTGGGAAGCTTGAGTTTGAAGAGCTTGAATTTGAAAAACTTGAGTTGGAAAGCTTGAGCTTGAAATGCTTGAGTTAGAAAAGCTTGAATTCGAGAATTAGGATTTGAAAAGCTTGAGTTCGAAAAGCTTGAATTCGAAAATTGGAGCTCGAATAATTGCAATCCGTTATCTAATAAGTGCCATTGGTTTTTTACTTTTATTATAGAACTGTTATTCGCCACGTGTTACGCCTTGCACAGGAAGTGACTTAGAATGGAGCCTAATAAAATTTATGACACCGAGCATGTATCAACACTAGATCGTCCCTATTTGGCACCGATTGCAGCAATCAACACGCAAGAAATCGCTAGCCATTGATGGAAAAGAAAAACGAGTGGAACTGGTTGAACGGTGGCAACAGTCGACGCGAGTCAAAGGCGAACGCACCGCGATGAAAACACGGGCTGTCGCGCGCTGACAAATACACGGGGCCGGTGAAACCGGGAATAAATCATGGCATTGACACCGTGGCCCCAGGAGGTTGGTTTGAAGAGTTCCCTGGCCACGGAAGTGAACGGCAAAGGGAATCGCTTCGTGATTTATTGTTTCCCGAGTTGCTCAACTTTGTTCCGTACGACTGTGCGCGGAATAATCAACCTCCTTGCACGAGGTGATTTATA